TAACAACATCTAGTGAAAATTGAACTTACTCTTGAAGACTATTATCTGTGTACAAAAGGACACATGTCAGAATGTTCACTGAAACTTTGTTCTTTGCAATAGAAAAGTACAACAACAAAATCATGAGTACATTAATTGTGGGGTATTTCTATGAATAAATAAACGGGCTAGGGTAAAGTACTTGCTTAGCAGGTAAAGTGCTTCTATGCAAGTGTAAGGACCTGAGTTAGAATTCCCAGAACTCACTGGGCAGCGGTCATGCCCTTTAATCAGCAGTTGGGAGGCAGAAGCAGAGGCAGAGGCAGGCAGATCTCTGAGTTTGAGGCCAGTTTGGTTTACAGAGTGAGTTCCAGGATAGCCAGGGCTATACAGGGAAGCCCTATCCTGAAAAACAAAACAAAACAAAACAAAACAAAACAAAAAAACAAAACACAGCAACAACAATAAAAAGAATTGCCAGAACTCATGTAAAGCTGGCTATGGTAGCACACCTGTAATCCTTTGGTGAGACAGGAAGCAGGGCGAAGAATCCCTGCAAACTTGTGAGCCAGATAGCTTGACATAAGCAGGAGTGAACGGATGAGAGAACTTATTTCTAGGTGAAAGGAGAGGACAGACACTTGAGAGGCTGTCCTCTGACCACCCCTCACCATGTCCACATATGCCACACACACACAAAGTATGAGCAAACTAGTGCTCAATTGACATGAGTAACTGAAAATGTAATGCTGGGCAGGAAGTTTTACAAATATATCTATAATGTGATAATAATTATATTGACTTGAAATATGGGAAATAGGGCCTAGGTATGTAGCTCATTTGGCATAGTGTTTGCCTAATCGGCATGAAGCTCTGGGTTTGATTCCAAGCACTGCATAAATCAAATATGGTAGCACATGCTTATAATCCTGATATTCAGGAGGCAGAGGCTGGGGTTTCAGAAGTTTAAGGTCATCCTTGGCTACTTTGTGAATTAGAACCCAAGCTGAGATGCTTGAGACAGTTTGAAAAAAAAAAAACTTTCCTACCTACCTACCTACCTACCTACCTACCTACCTACCTACCTACCATATAGGGCTGGGACATAGCTCAGTGGTAGAGTGCCTGCCTGGCCTGGGCCATGCTGACACAAGAATAAAAGAATATGTATTTTAAAAATTAAAAAAAATCTTATGTTTGTAGGTGTTTTGCCTGCATGTATGTCTGTGTACACATGCACCCAGTGCCTGTAGATGCCAGAAGAGGGTTTGGGGCCCTCTGGAACCCGAGTTACAGGTGGTTGTGGGATGAGAAGCAAGTGCTCTTAACCACTAAATCTCTCCAACCACAAAACATCTTATCTTTGTGGATCTATGCACAGAAGAATTTTTTTTTTAAAAAAAAGATTGTATTTCAATTGTACATGTATGTGGGGAGAAGGTTGTGCATGTGTGAGCAGGTGCTCATGAAGAGCTAGGACATTAGATCCCCCTAGAGCAACAGGTGGTTGTGGCCCACCTGGAGTGGGTGCTGGGAACCAGACGTGGGTCCTTTGGAATGGTAGCACAAATTCTCACCTGCTGAGCAAGCTCTCTAGCCCTATGATCATTTTTGTAAGGGCTTCTACTACTTATAAAATATTTTATTTCTAGAACATGAATATTGGTACCCTATAACAAAATATTAAGATCTGATGGACTAGGTAATGATATTAGCTTTCATGCTATTAGTTACTATTTTTCTTATTAGAAGAAAGAGTTAATTTGGGGCTATGGGTCCAGAGGAGTAGAGTCCATGATGGCAGAGTGAAAGCACAGTGCAGCACTAAGCTGAAGGCTCCCATCTTGAACCACAAACAGGAAGCAGAGAGAGCAAACTACAGATGGAGTGTTGCTTTGAAACCGCAAAACCTGCCTCTAATAACATACTTCCTCTAACAAGGCCACACCTTCTAGAGCTATCTAAAGGAGCACCATACTTGGCTCCATGTATTCAGCTGTCCAACACTAGGAGGGAAATCTCATTCAAACGATCCCATTGGGCGTGCTGGGAATAACACTCAAGGTTTCTGGCTTGCTCTACCCCCACCATTTGAGTTCTTAAATTGACTTAATTCCTTTATCTAAAATGTACTTTTCTCTTTCCAAACTTAGTATTTCTAAAAAGGCAGTCTTTTATTATTTGCTTAACTTTCTTTTTCTTTCTTTCTTTCTTTCTTTCTTTCTTTCTTTCTTTCTTTCTTTCTCTCTCTCTCTCTCTCTTTCCCTTCCTTCCTTCCTTCCTTCCTTCCTTCCTTCCTTCCTTTCTCTCTCTCTCTTTCTTTCCCTTCCTTCCTTCCTTCCTTTCTCTCTCTCTCTCTCTTTTCTTTCTTTTGTTCTTTCTGAGTGGTAGAGGGCCAAACTCAAGACCCAGCATGTGTTAGGGAAGCATTTTTCTACTGAGCTATACACTCAGTCTTCCCCTTATGTTCCTATGTTTGAGGCATTTACTAAACATTAGGGGGAAAGGTCTGGAGAAAGATTTGAAGAGCGTTCTATCACAGAAGTCAAGTGAAGAGTGAGTTTTAAAAAGGAATAGAGAGCTATTTCAAATGCTGGCCCCAAGAAATAAAATAATTGTTACTGGGTAGCAGGGAATTATCTGAGACTCTTGGAAGCATCTATTGCAGCCAGGAGTGGACAGAAGGTAGGCACGACAATGCAATAGGCAGGGACATGGACCGCTTATTCAGTAGGACGATGAACCCAGATTTTTCAGTGTGGAAAATTTCTTTATATGCTGGCTGTTCACTTACCTAGAGGAAATGGAAGCATTCATAACAACAGGCAAGGCTTAGGAAGCAAAGGCATTTTATGTAGCACAGAAAAATGGACAAAAAGATAGCAAGAAAGGTTAGGGACAGGAGGAAGAAGGCAGGAAACAAGGAAAAGGAAAGAGTTTATCTCACTGAAGGAGTAAGTTGGGCCTTGTGTTGGCAGAGAGAAACTGGGTATGGAGATGTTGCAGGCTAGTGAATTAACCCAACTGATCACAAGTCAGAAGCCTGCACTAGTGAGAGCCAAGGCTGAGGGACAGTGTCAATGATGTGGATGATTTGGGACTTTGAAAGGCTCTGAAAGAAACCAATCTGAACGGACTGGGGGCCTGTGGGCGTCCTGAGAGGGTACCGCCAACAACAGCTATCCTTCATGTGTGCTTGGCGGCTCTAGACTCTCACATTTAATCCTGACAATGACTTTTTGATATGACTATCATGTCACTTTTTTTTTTTTTTTTTAAGATGAGAAAATCAAGAACTAGGAAAGTGAAAGGTCTTGAATAGGACCACGAAAAGCAGATCTGAAATCCAGATCCAGGTTCACCTGGCTGGCCAGGACCTCAGCAGCAGCTGGTTCTCAGTGTGGAAATAGAGGTTTCCTGACAAGCAGCTGTAACAGTAGGCAGAGCAGGGGTGGGGATAACTTCCAAGGCACACTTCCTCCTTTGTGCTTGTCCAAGCCACCTTTTTTCTTTCTTTCTTTCTTTCTTTCTTTCTTTCTTTCTTTCTTTCTTTCTTTCTTTCTTTCTTTCTTTCTTTCTTTCTTCCTTCCTTCCTTCCTTCCTTCCTTCCTTCTTTCCTTCCTTCTTTCCTTCCTTCCTTCCTTCCTTCTTTCCTTTCTTTCTTTCTTTCAAATTTCAATTTCTGTTTTCTCTATTAAAGCCTCAAGCTTCCCAGAAATTTTGGAATAATTCCTTGAGCTTTCCTTTAATCACGGAAAACGTTTGTCTTCTCAGAAATGTTCGTTATATTCATATTTCGTTCAGAACGACTTCCATTTATTTTATTTAGTCAAGATTAACTCTTCGCCACCATCCTTCACAGAAATCCTTTATCTTTGCCTTGAGACAGGGCTGTGTTTTGGGAGAGTGTACAATGGAATAGCCTGGGCAGGTAGCTCAACCTACCTACCAAGAATGCAGTCACATGAGCACATCAAGAGCCAAACCACTCCTCCTCCCTTTGCGGTTCAGCAGCTGGGCTGTGCCCGCACCATGGATAGCTCCCCAGACGTCTTTTTGCTGGCAACTTGGGAGTACCTGGATATTTGTTCACAATATTCTTTTCTCAGTAGTCTAAGATCTGGATATTTAATACATTTCTCAAAGAATTTACTATCATTTCCCTTAACCTACGCATCATTCTTCGTGAGATGAAGAAAAAAAAAACCATTGATTTTATTGATATTAAAAATCATTCATCAGCTTAGAGTTCCTATTGCTTTTGCTAAATCAGTTTGCTATGATCATTGCTCCTCAGTTTTCCAACTGAACGTTCTGAACGAGGAATGGTTCTGACAGCTGGCAGTTGGTCGCACAGTTTTCGCTATTGGAAGAACTCTCACCTCCTTTGTATTAATTGACTGCCCATTAATTCTGGGTGGCAGGCTGGATTTTAGTGTTCCCATTTTACAGAACACAGGGTTAGGAGGAGTAAGCGATGTGACTGGGTCTGGGTTTGGTTCTTCTGTGTCCAATGCCTTTTTACTTTGAGGTGGACTCCCCAGGAGGCTTCCTATTAATATGCACGGTGCCCTTTTGATCGCTTCCCATTTCTATTGGTTTCTGTTTCCCAGCAGAGAGAGGGGCTTCCTACTGCGCCCAGGCTGGGCTGTTGCAAGGAGCACACCTGGGTCCTTCCTGTCTCCAGTTTCTCCTCTTCCTTTCCTATGGACCTTCCAGCTTCACCATCTGTGGAAATCTCCTCCTTTCCCCAGCTCCAACCCACACCCCCTCAAGTCTTCTCACAGCCCCCTGGCAGTGGGACCTCCCATCGCTGTCAGCCGCAGGAGAGCCCATCCGCCAGGGGAGGCAGAGGGCACGGAGCGCGGCACGCCGGGAAGCCATGCAGTGTTACCTCTCCATTTCCTTCCTCGCAGTCCTCAGGAGCACCGTCGTCGCCCTCCGGCCCGGCTGTGTGCAGCCCGCCCCGGATCCGCCTCCCTGCCCTTCCTCCCGGAGGCTGAGACGCGCGTGGGACGCACCTGTGCTCCTCTCCGGTCACCGCGTCGAGGCGCCGGGGGCTGCTTCGCCCGCAGGATCTACAGGCCTGGAGAACGCCAATGGGGAGATCCAAATGGTCGGGGACTCCGGCACTTTAAGAGGCTTTTCTCTGGGAAACACCCGGCCCCTCCGTGCGCCTTATGAATGGAAATACTCCTCCCCCGGTCGAGCCCATTTTCCCATTTCACCAGGAGCCGCAGCTCGCTCTCTCCTTTCGGTCTCCCCGCCCACATCCACGCGGGCAGCTCCAGGAGGGGACGGACAGGAAGCCTTTGGCCGCCCATTAAATCCCACCCATTTCTCCGGGGGCGATTTCCTAACCTTCCGGGACCGAATTCTGCAATTTGATGTGCGTTTTGTCCGAATGGTAGCGACACGGGCCTAAGGGAGGGGGAAAGCGAGGGGGGGGGGGGTGGGGGGTATGCGCTCTTTTCCTCGCAACATCGCTGGCGGAGCGAGGGAGCTCACACGACACAGATTTTGGGGCAAAGCCTTTCCATCTGGACAGCACCATGTCCACCAAAGCGGAGCAGTGTAAGTAGCAGCCGGCCCGGCGTTCGGCCCGGCCCCCGGCTGGGAGCTATCGCAGCTGCGGCGTTTGCGGCTGCTGGGAGACCTTGGCATTGTGCTGGTGCGGGGGTGGGGGCTGAGGTTGGGGCGGGTGGCGGGTGGGGGGTGGAAGGAGGTGGGGGAGGGTGGACGGCGGAGGCAGCGCGGCGCTGTCCCCGGTGCTGAAAAAAAAATGCGGTCTTCTCGGGCTAGCAGTGGGGTTCTCCAGACCGAAGACCCCGCGAGATGAAATTAAAATGGGGTCATTCTCAGGAAAAAGAGGCCTCGTATCTTTCAGATAAACATTTCGGTATCTCTTGTTGGAGTGGGGGAAGGGGGGCAGCGGCAAATCAGGGGCGGGGAACTGTCAGTTGCAACCAAAGCCTGGCTGGCCTTCTGAGCATGCCCAGTTCTTGGTGCTGGAGCCATCGGGGAGTTTTGAGTCTGCAGTTTCCACTTCGGGTGGAAGAGGCAAGAAGGGAGAGAGGGGGCAGGGAGCAGGGAGCAGGCTGGATTCTGCATTCAGTATAAGGGAAATTAACTCGTGAATAGTAACACAGATGCTAGAACTAACCTCCACTGCGTGGGGATTACAAGACAGTGAAAGGGGCGCTGGGAAAATGATCTAATTGATCTAATGATTTTTCCAAAGAGCAGGCTTTCTTTGTAGGGCAGCTTACACAAACTCTAATAGCACAGGAGGAATGTGGTTGTACCAGTAATGACTGACTCTGTGCTCAGCTGGAAGCAACATGGTAACTCCATGTGGACGGAGAACATTTCCAGCATGGTCTCCATAGTATCTCCTATTGCAGTGCGCACTAGTAGGCCTTGGTATGTACTTGATGGGCTGGTTGATGTGAATGTTTACCCGAGTGCATCTGAGGGCTCCAGGAACTTAAGCTTCTGGCTGTAAAATAAATGATCATCTTTTATTAAGCAATCAGTTGGTGTTTCACACAAGCGTATCTAGAACTTACCCTTCTAAATGATTCTTTGTTTCTTCCGGACCCCACCTAAGCCCGTGTAAATCTTCTTTGGAGTGGCCCTAACACGCCACATTTGGAATGGGTAAGATAAAATGCAGTGTGCCGTTTACCCACCGCGAAAGACTGAATAGCTCACAATTCCCAGACTGATGCTTCTGTAGAAGCTGGCCCACTTTCCACCAGAGCTTTCACAGTGATTTTGAAATTCAGAACATCTGGGTTTATATGCTAGTTCTGCCTCTGTCTGACCTTGGGCAAGATAACTGACCCCTCCAAACTCCATTTCCTTATCTGTAGAGCTGAAGCTCCCTATCGTGTAGTTGTGATAGTAATTGAGAAAATACATGTAAAAGATTTCACCAGCCCAGGACATAGCGTACACCCGCTTCACAATAGCTACAATGCTAACAAGCCCTTCTCATTTCAATTGTCCATCTTTTCTAAATAGTGAAGGAAGTTCCCTGTGATTTTTTTTTTGCTTGTTTCCAAAAGTCAAAGCTACCCTCAGAGTAAAATTCTGTTTCTACAGAGACTTTCAAAAACATCAGATGCACTCATTTTAGAGTACCTGTAACATAGAATCTGTGCAGAGTTTTCCACTTGAGGACATTAGTCCCCTTTGAAGACTTTGGTGTACCCTGAATGTTAAGAAGCCCCACCACCTATCATTTGATTCTGGGGTTGCAAATTATATAAGTGATTTCAGGTTAAAGCCAGTGAATATCACTGTCCTCTCATTGTGCCCTCTTCTTTGTGTTGTATTTTGATGTCTGCCTGATGTTTTGTTTTGCTTGTTTTCTGGGCAGTGAATGTCAGGATGAAAAAAAAAAAAATCTAGACCAGGGCTTGGCTGTGTGGTGCAATTTGTGGACTCAAGTACAGCTATTTTATACTTGTTTGCAAACACAGGTAGATGTTTTCATCTGTAGAAAATGAACTGGACACTGTAGCTACACACGTGGCTAAAACATGTGGACTTGAGCTGTGCCTGTCCTTCTGATGACCTGGGAGACCTGGGTCAATTAGCTTAATAGTTTTGTGCCTTAGAATTTCATCTAAAGTATGGGGTAATAGCTGTCGTTGGAGGGCAAAGGGGGTAAATAAAAGGAGGCTGTGAAAGGGGTAAGGTTGCGTTGGCTCTTATAAGCAGTTTTAAAATTTAGAGTTAGGATTTTTTTTCTCCTCTTTTATGCTCTGACATGAATGATACGATGTGCACTCCTGCACATAGAGCAGCTGCACAAAAAGGTGCACAGTGGATGACGGAAAATACTTTTTACTAAAGTGAAGTTGCAGATGGCAACACTTTTTCCTTGGGCTTGGTAGGAGTGTAGCATTTTGGAGAAGAGAAAGAAGAAAGGATCAAAAAAAAAGAGTTTTCTCTTGTCCTGGGTGTGAAGATCACCAGAGGGAAAAGAAAGACAGGAGAGGTCCTTTTCTCCTCTGCAGTCAGGAGCATGCACAATACAGCTTTCTTAAGAACCAAGTAGAGGGGAGAATTAGGCTTAACATATGGGAACAAGATTATTTTATTACTCTTTTTCTTGCAGCCTCTTGAGAAGTGAAGGCTTCACATACAGGAAGTGGATATAGTTTGGTTGAGGCAGCAAGAGGAAGTACTTGTATTTCAACCCAAACAGATTACGTTTACCTCTGAAGTGTAGAGTCTCACAGAGCTAGGACAGACGATCTTTATTTTGTATGAGCAGCATTTTCTTTTATGCGATAAACAACAGCAATGCCGGATAGATTGGTTTTAGCGAAGATGTAGCTGGGAGCCTGCGTGAAACATCTAGTGTCTGTGCTGTCTGCAGAGCTTGCCTGATAACAGGAGGTGAAAACTCCTGAGGAGGTCCTCAGGCAATTGCAGAAGGGCCAAACTCCTTTTCCTTTGTGCCTCCCACCCCCCTCCTGACTGAGTTCATCGCAGTGAAGATGTTTATACAGCACATGCAGAACTGGGGAACGGTTCAAATAAGAATTCATGATCTGTTTGGGTGTCTCAAAAGGATTCTACCACCCCTCCCCCAACTTTTCCTTTCTGTTGGTAGTGAACACTAACAGCCCTGGAATATGCTGGGAACGAGTTTTAGTATGAACCTTTGCTTTTGACAACAGCAGAAGTTAAGAGTTGGGGCTCTCATGTCAGATTGTGGCCTCGGTTTGAATCCTGACTCTGTCTCCTGCTAGCTTTGTGACCTTGAACAAGTCAGTTTAACTCATCCGAGCCCTGGTTGAACCATTTATAATGTAATAGCTGTTGTGAAAACGGAAGGAGAGGGCCCGTGAAAGGAGTTCAGCACAGGGGCTAGCACACAGTGTGACGCTAATAGATGTAAGTGGCCTGCTTTTGTCATCAAGAATAAAGCCATGTGCTTGCTCCCAAAATGTGGATACATATAAAGTTGGAGTCTAGCTTTCTAGAATGCAACAAAATTAAAAAAAAAATGATATCTAAATGGAACATGGATGATTGGATTAGACGAGATTCCTGGTCTCCTTTGCATGGCGACATCTGGAGTTGACATCACTAGCAAAATACTGGCTGGTTACCTACACAGAACCCTTTTTAAGGTGTGAGCTGCCCGTCTGTCATCTTTTGTGTTACGACAGTGTGACAGTTGGTAAACAGAAGTCTTGTATATGACTACCCATCAGAATGTCTGTCAAATTTGAAAATTAACTACTAACAATTTAAGCTAAAAAAAAATATGACCTAATTATATAATAGAAATGTGAGGGTGTACTATTTTTAATGTGTTCATTAAGTCAGTATCCTTGTCTCAATAACCAAACATAATTTTGATTACATTAGAGACATTCAGAAAATCTTAAGGTGTGTATGTGTGTGTGTGTGTGTGTGTGTGTGTGTGTGTGTGTGCTTGCACACCAAGGCATGTATGCTGAGGTCAGAGGACGACTGTCAGAAACCTTTCCTTCCACCATGTGAGTTAGAGGGATTGAACTCAGGCTGTCAGGCTCGGGGATGGGCCCTCTCACCTTTTACCTGGTAAGCCATCATGCAGGCTGCAGACAAATCCTTTCAAGACAGTATCTACTTAGCGATTTGAGTTTGAGATTGTCTCTCCCTATGCAAACTTAATCGTCGTGTTGGGTAAAGTCACCAGGACAGAAAAGCATTCTTCTTTTGAGCAAAGGACTGTGCTCTGCAGTCTTGTAAAATCTTTGCACAACACCACGGAATAGTTTCTTGCAGGGGAAATGCTTGTTTTTTTCATACAAGCAACAATTAGTGATTTGCGATTGTAAAATGAGCAGTGGTTTTTAGCTCATGTTTTACAACATGACTTCTCTGTGTTATTTGACACTAACTACTCAATACATTCCTTAAACTCTCCCATGTTTCTGACTATTTCTACTCAGGCTTTTTTTTTTAAGGGCTATGTTTTGTTTTTAAAATATCCCCAGGATTCCATATTTAGTCCAGCCTCTTCTCCTTTTCCCGGTGGAGATAACTGTATCTCCTTTGTGTTCATTACTTCCAAATATAACTTTCTAGTCCAAACATGTATGTGCCTTAAACTAGACAGGCATCTTATATGTAGATAACAAGCTCAAACTGTGTTGTCTTAGGCTGGTACGTTTAAAAGGTGTTGTTCATCCCGCTGAGAGGCACTGCCACTTACTCAAGTAAAAAAATTACGAGTCTTCCAAGGTTACCGCTTTTCACAATAACTATCTCAAATCGCTAAGCTCTTCATCTTCTGTCTCACCTGGCACCATATCTGTTTTACTGTGCTTACAGTGGGCCGATTATTTAATTCC